GTTATATCTTATCTTAATATTAGACGTTAAGGGCCGCTCATGCTAAGCACATGGCGGACAGTCTGTCAACGTCAAATAATCCGAGTTATCTTCCCTTTTCGAGCCCTCGAGTCCTTGAAAATGGCCTCGAGTCCAGCTAGACCCGACTCGTCTTCGAGTACTCGAGTACCCGTGGAAGCCCTAATCTGGTGAAGAGCTTGCCCTATCCTGTCCTGACCACGTCACCTTGTAATGAAGAGAGGGATCGAGTAAACCTATGTGAGTATAGAACCTAGCGTTGAGTTATTCCTTGTAATGCCAGAGTGCCAGTACATGAATGTAATGTTGTAGTTAGGAGTCTCGGTCGTCAGACCTCTCACTCCTAAACGTAGAAGCCCTAGACTTAACATTCCACATGGACCAAGCGAGTATGCAACCTGAGCTTACATCACCCTGACAATGCGGAACGGCCATCTTAATAGGTAACTGGTAGTAGGGTTTACTAACACCCAAATCCCGAGTACTCGAAGACGAGTCGGGTCTAGCTGGACTCGAGGCCATTTTCAGGACTCGAGGACTCTGAAAAGGAAGATAACTCGGATAATTTGACGTTGACAGACTGTCCGCCATGTGCTTAGCATGAGCGGCCCTAACGTCTAATATTAAAGATAAGATATAACTTTGTTATCCCGGAGGAAATTCTTATACATCCAAACTGTCTCAATATGAATATATACACAGTTCACAAAAATACACACAATAATTACATGCTCAAAACGTAAGCTATTTATGAATAAAACTGACATGATATAATTCAATTAACCACATAGGTAAAGAGGCTGAATAATTCTAGTTCTAATCACATGATGGTGGTATTCAAAATATTTGTTGCATTCACGAATACTTCTGATGGTATGAACGACTGTCTAGCGCTGTTAGTTTTGAGGGAAGGTAATCGTCAGCAGCGTCCAGAAGGAAGTAGTTCAAAATGGTGAGATCAAATATATCAACTATATCAAATCTTATTTTAGCTCCCCTTTTGACAATCTGGCGCTCATAGATAAAGGGGAGTATACTCGAAAGACACTCGCAAAATTTTGCAAAGCAGTATTAACAATTTTGAAAAAGTTTGTTTTGTTGCGATGAGACAGATCCCCACACCAACATACAAAATTGTAGGTCAACACACTTTGATGAGGGTTTGATAAAAAATTGTCATTCCTGTTCTCAATGCCTTGACGATAATAATGTTCAGAATCAGAAATTAGGCCAGTAACAGTGTGGCATCATCTGCAAGTTTCACAGTGAACAAGTCATATATTGACAAGTAACAGTCATTGGTATACAAAACGAAGAGTACGGATGAAGGAACACAGCCATGTGGATCTCCAGTAGAGGTTGAGAGCAAAGAAGATTGATAGCCATCGACACTGACATACTGAGTTCTATGTACCCTGAATTCTTTAACCCATCTGATAATGTTTTTATTAACACCTAGATTAAATAGTTTACTTCTCACACGGTGTGGCTGTATGGTATTAGTTGCTACAAGTCTGCAGATGAGAGTAAATATGATACATCGTTTGAGTTTTCACTTTGTAAAATGATTAGGTAACTATCTTGACAATTGATAGACATGGAGAAAGATAAAAAATCAAATGTATGGGCGTATCTTGATCTGGATAGTGAAAAGAGCAAAATAACCAAATGCCGCCTGTGCGGTATCTCACTGCGTTTTGCAGGCAGTACAAGAAGTACGAAGAAAAAAAACGTTTGTCAAGTAAACATCTAAATACTGATTCTGACCAATAGGAAATGTTAGTCACATGACGATATGAAGTCGGAAAGAAGTAAGTGTTCACTTGTGTGATCGGAACACGTCATGTCGGTTACGCTATCGTTTGCTTGAAAGGTATGAATTTCGAGTACTCGGGTCCGAGTCGAGTCCTCACCCCTCGAGTACTCCAGTCCAAAAATGGACTCGTTGAAGCCCTACACCAGATATGGAACTGATCAATCGCGATGCGAACGTTCTGCTGACTTTGTAACCCGCACCACATTCTAGTGCCAACCCATCTTTTAAAGTTGTTCGAGCCTGCTCCACCCTTGTCACAAGGCCAGATACAATCCCTCTGATTCGTTTAAAGTTGCATCATTCCATGGTCTCGTGATTTGAGAATTACTGTAAACTCATCGGTAACTCACCATTAATTGCTACTTTTAAGAGTCTTTTCTGTTCTGTTACTGACAGTTATCCTGTTCTCTATTCCTTAGTTTATTACCAAGCAGTAACAGCATTGATTCTATGACTGAATAATCGTAATTCTCAATAACGGATGCATTTTCGCCTTATAACAGATGTAAGTGAAGCCTTTGATTGGTTTTGGCATGAAGGGACCATTCATAAACCTAACGCCTATAGTATCTAGGGTGATCATCTGTAAAGGTATCAAAGTTACAGTCAAATCCCGATGAGTCGAATGCCGGTGTCTCGAATATTATGCATAACTCGAAGTACCTGTCGGTCCCGACCATTCCTGTTATAGTTGTCATCATTTTTTCTACCCTCATAGACATACCTATGTCTCGAATACATCGATAAGTCGAATTTATTACTTGGTCCCCAGAGATTCGACTCATCGGGATTTGACTGTATTTAGAAAGCAGAGTTCAAAAGGAGTTCAGTAAGTAATGGTTATGGTTACAGTCCTAGGACCACTGCTGTTTGTTGTTGACATTGTCGAAGGCATAAAGAGTAACATACGCCTATTTGCAGTCGATACGTCCATATTTATCATCACATTTACGACGATCACATCTCTGCAAAGCAGTATCAATAAGCATTAAGCAGAAAGTTCAAATTGGGCTCGCAAATGGTAAGGAGGATTCAACCAGAAAGACAAAAATTCTAACGAAACAAATTTTCAACTTTTAAAAGAACGAAGACATCTCTTTTAAATCGATTACATTGTAGAAAATGAAAATGGTATAATAATTTCACCTGAATATCTCTGCAAAGTTATACTAACTCAAGTCTCTGAAAATAACAACTATAATCTTAGAAAAAGATCAAACTCACAGACAATCAAATGTAAACTCAGACTTATGCCAAATCAACTTTTCCGGACACGATCAACTTGTGGAATAATCTACCTGGCGAAGCAACTAATGCACGCTCATTGAAAGTATCTAGATATTTAGTCAATTATTCTGATAGAATTCAGCTGAATAAACTTGACCTCGATTATGGTTCTTGATTCTGCCAAATTGTCCACTGTCGCCTCAGACTCGGCTGCACACGGGAGTATTAATTTGAGCATACAACTCATTTTTTTGCTTTACCTTCCTCAAATACGACAATATCAGAAAGACTGTGTACTTTTACCTACATGGGTATGGCTTAAAATCAATACTTCATGGCTATAGTTCAGTCAGCAGTTCTACAAACATGGACACTCTCACGAGCAATTTCAAATTCATGTGGAAAGGATAACTGCACTATTACACTTTTCCACATACACAACTGAATTCACAATACTGACTTTGACAGAAAATTGTGTTCAGCACTATCCTGTAGGGCGGTGGGGTAGCCTAGTGGTTAAAGAGTTCGCTCGTCACACCAAAGATCCAGGTTCGATTTCCCACATGGGTAAGCTCATTTCTGGTGTTCCCCGCCGTGATATTGCTGGAATATTGCTACAAGCGGCGTAGAACCATACTCACTCACTCACTCAGCACTTTTTTGTACAACGTATTGTAATCGGTTGTTGTCATCTTACCTGGAGAGGTTCTTATCATCGACGTATCATCGACGCAACGCGAAAAATAACCGAAGCAACAGAACATTAATTGAAGTAACGAGAAATTACTCGTAGCAACGACTAAAATACTCGAAATTTTAAAGTTTTTGATAGAAACCTGAAGTAACGAGAAAATAGTTGAAGCAATGAACAAATATCGCAGCAAAGAGACATTCCGCTAAAAGATGTGTTTTGCTACCAAAGTCGTACCATTAGCACTTCGTACGTTAGAAATGTTTAGTTTCCAGGACTTTGATTTCACCGTGCATTCTTATGGATGTGGGAAGTTTTGCGTCGCTAAATCCTGGTTCAGATATTTCTATTCACCACCTGCATACACGAAAAAATCAAATAGTTTAATTGTATAACCATAATCAGTTCATTGGCGTTTATCGGCGTTCACGATTTTGAAGCATGACACTTGTACCTAATTGTTGTTGGTACGAAAACGCTTATGTATATATCCCCAGTTGAACCTTGCAAGTAAAAAACTGCACGAGCATGGTTTGATAAGTAACGGTGTAGGAGTAAGATCAACAGGTAAGACTGAAGTGGCTGACTGTCAGCAGTAAAAATAGATGTCCTGGGGTTTTCATTTATAAATATGGCTGCTGGTTGAACTGTGAAGGATACAACTTAACAGTGACATACAGATGAACGAAATATGTTACGAAAGTGTTAAGTAGATACACCTTATACATACAAATTTGCAAACTTTGAACGCAACAGAACACATAAGTTCTAAATAACAGACGATTATCATTAAACAAGGCTCATATGAAAAAATTACTCTAATCGTCTTAAATATTACCATGTTTTAATTTTCAGAAGTCGGTATGAGAATATACACGTATATAATAATTACATTATATTTCATTTAATCCGTTATCGTTCTAAACCTAGATTATTAATTAACAATACATTTAAATGTATTTGAATAAAAGAAATACAAAAAATGAATACATGTCTGTAATTACAATGTAACAGTAGCAAGTCTAAATAAATGAACCACAAATGTGATTACTGCCGAAACAGATGACGACACGGTTGTGTTCCCCAGGACTACTGATGATGTGTTACTAACCTTGTCATGGTTTGATCACGAGGCATAACAACACAAGACCTTGTGCAACTTGCAACTAGGTGGCTGTGACGTCATCAAGCATGAGTGACAAATCCATACCAGGGTACTAATTTTAGAAAATGACGATATTCCTTGAAGAAAGACCAATAGGATTATGCCTGAAAATTATAAGACATAGAATCAAGAAACGGGGCTTCATTTTGAAAGTAGTCGTTCAGCAGAGCGGATGGTTTTCCAGTTACGGATTACGTAGGACGATATCCGATGTAAGCATGAAAATATGCACACATTATTCCGATTCTCTTTTTCGGTAAACGAATTTGCTGAATTTAGAAACATATGGTTCAATCAAACGTTGAAGTATCTGCTATTTGTATGTATAACGTAATATAAAGATCTACTGATACAGTATAACAATGCCAACAGTTTGATATGCCTCAATATACGTTGATGTTTACTGTAACATTTGTAACCAATAGCTAACACTTTTGTTCTGAAATCTGTGAATAGCTTTTCCAACGCAGAGAGAGTCAATACATCTGGTTCCTTGAAATCTATCATCAAGGTATGTATGATGTCCACAACTGAAAACGATGTTTGCTCTTGATTTGACGTAAGGCACATTCTATGCGATTGGTACCTCAGAAGTCCTGTCATCATGGACTGAACAGTTGGTAGTTACATACATATGAAATAAGCAATGCAAATACTTATGACATATACCAGAGCTACAGATAACATTTTTACCATTGGGTTATGTACTCACTTGTACTCAATTGGCTATCCTAATTTTCCTTTGAATAACCAAATATATTGTATCCAAAGGGTTTCGACTACCACCTTTACCTGGCAGGTAGATGGTATTTTAGCTGTCGGTATCCCGCACCTGGGATGGTGTGTCGTTACCTGGAACTACGGTATACCCTCGTACTTCGGTCCTGACGATAAGGGATGTGCGAGAGGTACCGTGTCAGTACCGAGGGCCCTTTGGACCTTTACCGTAGTTCCTCCAGCAACCACAAGACGATGATCTTCGTTCCACAGTTTTATTAACACTGCGTTGCTGGTCCAACCCACTCTATTTGTCACATAATTAGAAGACTTCAGCTGGGAAGCTTCAGTCTCAGTCGAAATGCTGGTGCTTTGAGTTTGTTTCTTAGTACGAAAGTTAGTGACAATCAGATGAGAGCTGATGCGCCCTAGACCCCAGGCTTGGGGTTCCGAGGTGCACACTCCTTCTCGGCTTCAAGTCTCGCACCTCCCTCCCGTGTCTGAGCTTTGCTCCAGCTTAAACCTGGGTTCCTACGTCACAGCCAACACCCTTTTTCATTTTTTCTATTGGTCAATAACCCATAACCTGACTATCTATTACTCTCCCCACCTATATTTCGTACCCCACTACCATATTTGCAAGACCGTGAGGTGTATTCCAGGAATATCAGAGTTTCTCTCCCCTAACCATATATGACTCGTATAGTACCAAGATCTGGTAGCAAGGTCCCCGGACACGCCGCTCAATCTTGATAGTGTAACAATTTTTCCCTACCTAAGCTATGAGTCACGTTGCCCCCATCAGCTTTAACGACCTACTTTCATGTTTATTACCTCCGCTACTGACTTCCTTCCTACCTTACAACGTTATTAATCACTTTACATCTAAAATATATTATTAAATCCTCTCATAATTTGTATCTTATCACCTCTTAATCACCTGTTATTAATCATGTCAATTGTATATCTATTATTGCAACAAGTACCATAATCTTATGCCTATAATACGACCCCTTTCTGACCAAGAGTGTGCCCTCACACTCTAAGTTCTATCTTTATCAATATTATAATTTCATGCCTATAATAATTGTACTCACCTCACTTAAACTCAATTGGATATTTTGCCATTTTTTCCATTAATTTTAAAAATATAATAAAGTTTAAATGTTAGAGTTTGTTATTTATATTTGATCTATAATATGAGAAACGATAAGAAAGTCTGCAAGTTGCCAAGTTCATGTCCTGAAATAGAACCTCTCAATATACTGCAGTTATTTATCTATCCACCTATACACAAGCTAAGATTTGACATTTATGTGTGTACGCGTGTAAGATCACATCTATTGAGTATTTACAAAGATTAAGCGTACCGGTACGCAATAGACGTAATATGAATTGAGTTTTCACATAAATATTTGCGTAATTTCAGCAGATACGCAGCTTATCTGTACCTCTGAAATACTCATGGATTATTTATTTGGTTGATTTTATTGAGCCAAATAATACGTTACTGTGCATGGTCATTCAAGATCGTCTCGATAGTTGAATAATGTGTATTTCGCCGTTTGGTCTTTGCCCAACCTTTGACACCCTGAACAACAATTGCTATTCGCATAACATTAGGATCATGTCCATAACATTAGGAGCATGTTCATTCGTAGGCCTCCCTCGTTTTGTGACAGCACCATATAAATATTCACTGGGATCGTGACCTATATTTTTATAACGCCATGATCTTTTTAATAACATATCAAACAACAAAACAATACGATAATTTTACATAATATTACATTTCACTCTTGAAATATATAAAACTCGATGTAAGTTTGTTTTGGCAAGGCGCTTATGTTGCGGGTGTAGTGAGAAAGCTAGCAGCTTAAATAAGCCATCCACGTAATTAAAACTGATCAGCATTTTCAATGTTTAGTCCTGCCTATTTACATCACTACGTATGATGAATGTGTCCACAGATATGTTCAAGAAGGTAACGTTTGTTGCAGAAATAGGGTAGGTGTGCTCAGCTTCATGTACTGGCAAATGTAGCTGGCTAACAACTTGATGTGGGAGCAAAGAAATGACGTTGTTCTCACAGACGTTTACCACTTGTTTCCCAGTTGCGTAGATTGATGCTCTTGATGTCAATCACTGGAATGTGGACTCGAACTGCTGTCATCTAGCAGCACCAACAATGCGACACGGTTTACTTCTACCATTGTTATTCACTTTTAAAGTAAACATTTCAACTTCAACTTCGACTACATATGTGCAGTGATGTTTATCTAACTATGTGGTTTGCAGTAGGCTTTTTTATCAACATTGACAGGCAACGTCAACAGCACTCTACTGTCTCAGTCTGATCAGCGGTAAAATAGATACAGCTGATATCTCTGTTGGTTTAACACTTGAAGAACACACCATAACAATGGTATTCTTTGATGGATGTTTATATCCGTCTAAGGACCATGCCAGCGCAACATATTTTATAAACTTAAATAAAACTAAAAATATAGCAGTTAGGTTTCTTCTTACTTAATGTGACATTCCTACATTTAACATCGATGTAATCTATGAGTAAGTTGAGCTTCTGTTATCAACCGACCTATGTTCACTAATCAATAGTGGACACACGTATGTATGTATGTATGTATGTATGTATGTATGTATGTATGTATGTATGTATGTATGTATGTATGTATGTATGTATGTATGTATGTATGTATGTATGTATGTATGTATGTATGTATGTATGTGTGTATGTATGTATGTATGTGTGTATGTATGTATGTATGTATGTGTGTGTGTATATGTATGTATGTATGTATGTATGTATGTATGTACGTACGTACGTACGCAATACAGATGTATGTATGTATGTATGTATGTATGTATGTACGTACGTACGTACGTACGTACGATATGTATATGTATGTATGTATGTATGTATGTATGTATGTATGTATGTATATATGTGTATATGTATGTATGTATGTATGTGTGTGTGTATATGTATGTATGTATGTATGTATGTGTGTGTATATATGGATGTATGTGTGTGTGTGTGTATGTATGTATGTATGTATGTATGTATGTATGTATGTATGTATGTATGTATGTATGTATGTGTGTTTTGTGTATGTGTGTGTGTGTGTGCGCCCATATATTAGGCTGCGCATGGCATATGTGTGTGTGTGCACACATATATTAGACTGTGCATGGCATAACAATGTACCGCAACGATGTACCAATTTCGGCTGGTGAAGGGCATACGTCTATCATACTGTTTGTAATATGAGATGAGCTAACAATGCTAAACTCTGTACATAATTACTATGTTGACCATGTCGTTTTACGATAGACACTTCTGTCTTTGGGATTATTCAAACGCTGCTGGCTTCTTGCCAACATTTGCGTCGTTGCCTTGTTAAAACTCGTAATTGATGTCATTGAATGATGTGTGTGTATAAATAAGTTTGTCGTGAATGCATTGATCGAGTGCTATGTCATTGTGGATGTGTGTGCATAGGAGGACTCAGATAGTTCAATTCTATAGCCAATAAGTAAATGATATACGTCCATGCCACATCATCCATGAAAAGTATGCGTTAGTTGACTGTATTATAGAATAAAGGTCATTTTGTGAAAAATAATAATAAATAAAGGCCACCAAACCATTTCTACATCCACAAGAAACATCAGCTAAAAAGCAGACTCGAATGTGAAATTCAAATATATGAATACGTTTATGAATCACTATCAAAACAGAGATGGTACCAATGTTCGCGCTTATATATATCACTATGGTTTCACCGTTATGGATACCCAGCTGAAGACGTAGGGTAAAATGGCAAAAATCTCTGTTTACTCAGAAATAGATTCTTAGAACAATAAAAACGTCGATATTTGAGGAAATGAAAAATGTTTGAGAAGGGAATATGGAATGAGACGAAGCTGGCATTACCGTCGGGTTTAAAAATTATTGCACTTCTAAAGCAAAGTTCAAGCACGTGTTTGTGCGTTCGTGTGTGTGTGTGGCTGTCGGAGCTACTTTGAACTATTGCAGCTAATAAAGAGTCTGATAATCTCAGTTTGTATTGCACATGTAAATCCCACTAATACACAGTAAAACAACAAACGCTCCATCTACTAGTGGGTGAGTATATTTTTACGCCACTTTTAGCAATATTCTGGGAAGGCCGTCGGGGAACACAAGAAATGGCCTTCACACACTGAACCCATGTGGGGAATCGAACCCAAATCGTCGTCTTGACGAACGAACGCTTGAACCACAAGACTACCTCACCACCCCTCTATCCACTAGACGACTACTCTCTCTAACAGTGAGACAAATTATCATGAAAGTATTTCACTGGTTTCTCAATAATATCCCACTTTGTTGGTTGTATGTGACTCCAGTGAGTTCTGGTTAACCTTAACATATTGCTTACAGTGAACTCATTGTTTAGTGTAACGTTGTAGACACAATAGAAGACATTGTCAGCACCACAAATAGATAGGTATTTCCCGCAAATGAATTTGGGCTATCAATAAAACGATGTGATCATCTTTCAGGATAGTCTCCACGTCACAGTTACGTAATGTGGAAGGGGTTGAGTTGACACCAAGTTAATATGTAAATGACGTGAAATTCTAGGAATCATTTGCATATCAAATAATGCACAGCTCAATTCCAGGAAACAGATTTCACCAACATATTTGTACACTAGGGATATATATTATCACTCTGGCGTCAAGGAGTCGAGAGGTAAGACACTTGAGCTTTCACAATTCGATTTGTTCTGAAACAGCTATTTTAACCTTTTTAAAAATATTTGTACAGTAAGGTTGTATTTTTTTCACACTGGCGTTAGGGGGTCGACAGGTAGGACACGGGATTCTTGAGAGTTGGAATTTATCTTTAACAAGTATTTTAACACTTATTTTCACGTTATATTTTCACTATTCATTGTAAAAGATTAAATATTTTAATCAGTGCAATCAGCTACATTAATGTTTACATTTTATGATATTTTTTCCAATAGGAATGTTGATAAGTGACATATTGGACATATATTTGACATGTATATGAAATCACAGTAAAGTTTCAATATGCATGAACATGTAACGCATTTTTGTCAAACCACATATGTGATCTACAAATATATTTAATTGGGTGAATAAGATAATCCATGCATCTAGACAGGTAAATGCTTTACATTTTCGGGAATTGTTTCCAATCTGTGGATATAGATTAAGTATGCTTGATAGTTTGTCAATAATGTCTCCATATCTGTACAGAATATATACTCAATGATGGTAGGGACGTGATCTTTCTTGTCACTGTTTTAAAAGCCTCAGTGACGTAAACAGTCTCAAAACAGAACCAGTGACTTTATTACGTTTCTATTGCACAAGTGATGGGTGCTGTTTGGATGCGTATTGTTATTACACTATGGAAGATAGACATGCATGGGACTATTTTCAGCTGCTAATTTCTTTCTTACATTGTCGGAGTAGCAAACTCCCAGAATACAACCTTTACCAATAAAATTAGAAAAGAGAGAAAAGATTGTCAGGATATTCAATTCAAATTCAAATTTATTTTTTAACTTCATGGACATGCCGAAGTTAAAAGCGGTATCTTATGTCAGTTTAACGGTGAAATAGTTTCTGATTTATTGCAAACTGTACCCGGTCAGTTCACAATATCAGTGTCAGTCTGCACAAATACCCCGTTAAGTTACTTTGTCTATCAACACTACTCGCATTAGATTTAGGTTTCAGATAATGTTACGTAATATTGTTGATTTTCATTCCCAGGTAAAATGGCAGCTGAACAGTATAATCCTGTAAATGGTAAAGTACTGTTATATTTCCTACTTATGGTAGTATCATTGTTATGTCCTAGACTAGTGGTATTATCATTGTTATATTCTACACTAACTGTACTATTATTGTTACATCTTACATTAGAGATATTATTATTATTATTATTATTATATTCTACACAAGCAGTAATATTATTGTTATATGCCACACTAACTGTACTGTTATTTAAGAAATACACTTCGCTCTACCACCATGTATAGTGTAATAAAACACACTTTTGCCCTGAACTATTATAGTTAAAGCACGAGGACGTTATAATAGTTCAGGGCGAAAGTGTGTTTTATTACACTATACATGGTGGTAGGGCGAACTGTATTTCTTTTCTGAGATGCCAAATTTAATACTTTCTAAAGATAGTTACGATTAATTTAAGGCAGAAAACAAACGACGGTGTCGGTGACCTAAATTAAGAATCCTCGCACAGGGCTAACTGGCGCGCTGTTCTATTGATGTGTCTGCCCCCCTACGTTAAGACGAACGTTACCAGAAAAAAACAAATGATAACAGTTTGATGACGGTTTACGTTCGGATTAAATATCTTCTCTGAATTATTTTAATTACATCTGTCATTAACGTAAACCATATGTGGCAATATGAACGTTGCATTTCTACTACCAGCGTAAATTTAGATCAGTACATCCAGAGGAAGTTGAGTAGTCAAGCGACATTCCACAATTGCATTGTGGGAATGTAAACATTACGAACGTTACCGTGTCGCTGAAACTTGTGAGTTTCCACCAGTGATGTTAGGTGCGTGAAGCAACAGCAAACCAAGAAACTGGATGCAACGGTGTAGTTTACTGTAGGAGGCCGTACGAGGCGATGACAACTGACATGCATCGTGACGTCGCTTACATTGTGACGTAATGTAAAATGGTTCGATTACGAGGGGGCACACTAGAATGGCGCAGTGACGGGATAACGTCATTCAATTGTTACGTCATCAAAAAACTATACCTTTATTGTCTGATAATGTATTTTTTTTCTCGATTGTTCTAACCGCTAGGCATCTTAGAATGTTATATCCTTCATCAAATATACCAGTATTATTATATTCTACACTAACAGTACTATTATTATATCCCACACCAAGGGTTCAATGTTTAGTAAACTCTACAATAACGGTACTATTATTGTTATGTCCTACAATAGTACTATCATTATTATTATTATAATACCCTACACCAATGATAATTGATCTATTATTGTTATGCCATAGACCTGTGATACTATTATTGTTGTATCCTACTCTAATATTTTATTTTATATCATCAAGTTATGGTAGTATTATTGTTATACCCTACACAAACGGTACTATTACTGTTATATCCTACATCTAGCTGTACTATTATTGTTGTATCCTACACTAATAATATCACGTTTATATCATCAACGAAATTAATATTCTTGTTACACGCTACACTCGTGGTAATATTATTGTTGTACCATACACTTATCGTGATATAACTGTTATATCCTCAACGAATGGTAATAAAAGTGTTCTTGTGGTAGTATTGTGATAGCGTTGTCATACCTTTTATTTCAATAAGGCAATTAGAAACCGTCTCAAAATGTTAGCATTTAAGCATGTATTCAACATCAAAACTACCTAAAATACACATGTTTTGTCCCTATTGTGGTCATTGGAATTATTCACAGTTTGTAGTTTGTTGGTACAGTTTTGATGTGTATTTTCTGCATTAATTTCAGTTCAATGTGTACCGGGGAGAAAGGCTCTGACCTTTCACTATAATGTGGCAGGAATTACGGATGTGTCATGGGATATTGTCCAGAAAGATAGGTATGTTTTACTTGTTCGGACAGCTTAAAAATAGCTTTGTAAAGTAGCTATTAACAAAAATCTTCGTATGAGTTGCTCAACACAACCAAGACAAAAGGTCACTGGAGTTGTTAGGTTATAATGTTATTCATGTCTTTGGGTCACCGTTTCGCAAATACCTGGTTTCATGACTCAAAGTCAAACACTGTTGTGTCTGTACTGTGATGTGACGAACAAATGGTTGTCTCAAAATAAACGATTGGTCGTTGCTTTTTGCTATTTAAGTCATTATTTTGCAATGTATAACCTTGGGTAACTTTTGTTTGACTGTATTTTTGATATAGTCGAACCGGAAAATGGACTTTTCACAAATTTCTTGTAAATATTGATTATTTTTCGCTGTTTTGTGTGTGACCTTTAAAATGTTACGGAGTATATATTATCTTACGTCATGTCATCAGAGTCGCAAATAATTGTTACCAACAGCAACAGGAAAGATGAAGAATTGAAAACGATGAAAGAAATACACGATTTCTTACGTTTTGTATTTTTAGGCAACGCGTCTTATATATCCAAGATCGTTTTAATCTTGTCGAGTAATTATAAGTTACTAATATTCACCACATTTCGTATTTATCCGGAAACGTGAAGCAAAACATTCGATGTAGGTTTCTGTTAAAAGAAAAAAAACAGCAAGAAAGGGCCGCGAGCAGCAACATGAGAGGAACATAATGTCTTACTTTTGTAATTTTAGGGAACACGTTGCCAAATTTCGAGCGACTGCTGGTGGTAGCAAGTATGGTCACACAACTAACCCTTTTCCGGACAACATCAGAGTCCAACTGGTCAACGCCAGCCAGGTTGGTATATAGGCATACGATGTACGTTGTCCACATTGACTGGCGATACTATTATTTTTAACAATAATGATTCCCTTGCATACTCTAATTGTTGTCAGTTTTGTCAGTCATTGTTTAACTTTCTATAATTATCATAACGCAAGTTTTTGCAAATTATTCACTCTGGCTTTAACGTTTATATTCATAAATTCAGAACAGATTAAAGTGAAGTCGACAAAATGTACTTCACATCGTACCAAAGTAATAATTTCTCTGGGGCCATCCAGCCGAATGCCATGGGATCACTTGCAACATTTTTGTTGTCGACTTACATTTTCCAACTGATTATACATAATAAGTCAGCATATTATGCTGATCCCTGTGGCTGAAAGGTCAATTCAAATTTGTACCTGAATGGTTTATTTTCAGAAAACTACCAGGAACGATTTCCAAGTAACGGTGAAATCGAACAACCACGAGATCAGAGATTATTTTCGTTGTTAGATTACCAAAACAACAAACTCAAAGTATTGCTAAAGCATGGGAAAATGAGAAGAGTTCCCCAATCAGTTCGATTTTGTAATAGAATGTAATTTAATCATTAGAACTGTGTCTTGTACTGCTATTTAAAACCATTGTCTTGTAATAAAACTGTGCTCTCATTCCACGACCTGTATTCTGATAGCGCTAGCACATTTATTGTTTACTTACCTATCTCCCCTCTCTGTCTTGTCGAAACCACAAAACAATAGGTAAATTCTACATCGATTTCAGTCCTGAATAATATACCAAATTCGGAATCGGTTGAGTGTGCAATGAGAACGCGACCACCTTAAATAAACCATAAGTAATTAAAACTGATCATAATGTCCTGTTGTTTCTGACATCACTACTATGCTCAAATGTTCAAACTCAGACAAAGGGACCAGGTCTGAGTTCAAAGTTCAAAGTTCAAAGCAGGATAAACAAATAATTCCATAAGTTATGAGACGTACCCTTCCCTCCCCACTGATCATGATTTTAAATGTTTAGTACTGTTCTTTTTGACAACACTACGTATGCTGACTGTGTCCATGGATCGTACGTTTAAGCAGGTAACATTTGTCGCAGAACTGGGGTTGGTGTGGTTAGCTTAATTCCTGGTCTCTTATTCTGGAAGCTTTCGTAGCCCTAAGCATTCTTAACTTTGGTCGTAGCCAATGTGTTAAGAATGGGCTTAAGAAGTTCGTATGGCTACGAACGTTTCGAGAATAGCTAGTCTGTACTGGTAAATGTAGATGCTGACAGATACGACGTTACTACAGACGTTCACGGGTAAACATGTATTGAACTGCAACCCACATGAAGGTATATGTGGATGCAACTCCGCTCAGTAAATTTCGTCAACGTGGTCACCTTTATCATTTTCAGTTAACGTTTCTTTATCAAAATCAAGAACGGGTATTACCTTTCTTATAGGTTAATGGGTCTTTTGGACCATACAAATCCAGAACGCAATCTGGTACTTATACAAGACGCCCATAGTTACTATTCGACGAAATGGGACTTGATAGTTTGATCTCTTGCCTACTGTGTTTGAGGTGTGTGTTGGGTTCAACGTCACCTTGAACAGTGTTCCAGCGATATCAAACCCTGTCAGCTTGATTTGGGAGCAAAGAAAATGATGCTGTTCTACCAGACGTTGACCACTTGTTTCCCAGTTGGGTAGATTGATGTTCTTGGTGTCAACCATTGGAATGTGAACTCGATTATGTACAAACTGCTGTCATATAGCTGGAATACGTTTGAGCAAAGCGTTTAGAATATTTTAATTTCAAAGCTTCTGAAGCAAGATATTGGCGTATGTATGTATGTATGTATGTATGTATGTATGTATGTATGTATGTATGTATGTATGTATGTATGTATGTATGTATGTATGTATGTATGTATGTATGTATGTATGTATGTATGTATGTGTGTGTGAGCATGTGTGTGTGCGCGCGCGTGCGTGTGTGCGTGCGCGTGTGTTTGCGTGCGTGCGTGTTCGTGCCTGTGTGTATCGGTAACTCACAGACAGCCCACACAAATATCAAGCCATGCGTTTTGAAATTATGCACCTGTAAAGATTGCTTTAGGAATATATACGATGTAGTATGTCTGCACAATTAAGACTGGGGAAGAGAATAAGTTTATCATACTGTTTGTGAAATGATTTGAGGTATACATTTTACATGTTTACTCTACTGATCATAACGTTCTACGGTGGACATTTCATGCTTCGGGTTCATTCAAAGGCTGCTGGCCCCAAAGCCAACATTTGCGTTGTGCCCTTGCTTATTAAGTCGCAGCTGATGTCATGGAGAATCTGTGGGTTTATAAATAAGACTGTCTTGAATGAACTGATCGAGTGCTATGTCATTGTGGATGTAAGTGAATAATAAGGACTCCACTAAAAGCATTTCTACGGCCAACAAATATATATATATATGATGCTACATCATCAATAAAAAGGGTGTTTTAGTTAATTGTAAAAACATAAATATAATCAAGGTCTTTTGGTGAAAAAATATACATGATAATAAAATCCCTTTTCACATGCAGAGGAAACTACATCTCGTGCAATTCGCACCATGTGTTTATATATCACTATAAAAATAGTAACAAGTGTTCGTATTTATATATATGAAGTAAAATGAAAAGAAAACTGTGACGTTTGAAGACACCGCAAAACAAAGAACGCCCATATTGGTCAGCACCACAAAAATAGAACTAAAATATCTATCACACGTTTCCAGCTCATTCTCACGTGACAGTGACGTCATGTTGACGGGGCTGAGTTGGCACCAAGTTAAGACCTAAATTCAATGATATTCTAGGAATCATTTGCATTTCAATTGAAAAAACCCACTCCAGTTCCAGGAATTTGAAGAGAGATTGCACTTACATATTTGAACATTTGGGATATAGTTTATCACACTGCGGTACAGGAGTCGACAGGTAGGACACTTGAGTTTTACAGTTCGATTTGGTATATTTTAAGCAGAACAGTGAACTACATAAACAGTGAAATGGTTATCAGTGTATATATGTATACACTATTTTCCAAAGTGATATTTTAATAATCTTTGTCACATTTTGTAGTTTCGAATACATATCCTTCAAAATACTACAAGATATGTTTTATAAACGGTAATGAAGAAATCAAACTGAGCGCCTTGCATGAACACTGTTGACGTGAATTTTTAATTTAAAAAAGTTTCTCGATGAAAACCACGAGCCGAGATAAATGTTAATCATTTTTTGCTGAATGGATTATGAAGCTATGAACCACAATATGATCAATTAACACCTATCAAATGGTTACTGCGACGTATTTATCCTTAGACCTCATTTGCATTTCGATTTGACCTTCTAAAAGAAATGACAACATCTGATCTAGAATGAAATATTTAATGGTCTATTTATTTAACATTTTTGTTAGAAAGAACTTCAGGGTAGAGTTTTGCCGAGCATACGTATTAATGATTTAAGATAGCGGGATAGTCACTGTAATGCGTGACTGCGTAAATCCCTGTTACTGTTATTAGAGCCTTAGTGATGTAAGCAGTCTAATAAAAAGAACCACGTCATTATATTTATACTGCATAAGTGACGGGTGCTAATTGTTAAGACATGATCGACAGTAAAGAGATAGAAATGAATCGAACTTAATTCAGCTGTTAATTTCTCTGTTGTAGAGTTGCAGCTCGTAGAAATACGTTTTAGCAATAAAATCTGATATAAAATGAAAAGTAACCTAACAAAAATTGGCTGTAAATGGGAAATGATTGCCAGGATAATAAATTCAAAGGATATGCTGAGGCTAAAAAGAGAAATTTAATCGTTGTTTTACTGGGAAATAATTTCTGATTATGGCAAAGTTTTATATAGTATCATTTAAATCCATTAATATGTCTGCACAAATACCCGTAAAGTTACTTTTGCTTATTAAACTGTTCGCATTACACAGAGGTAGAATTTAAGATAATATTATGTATTATTGGTTTCATTTCCAGGTCTAAACCAGTATTTTCACAGAAATGGCCACTGAACCGTATGAAAGGCTAAATGGTAAACTATTTCTAGATTCTACACTAATGATTGTATAAAATGTACTTTATATCGTGAACCACTCATTCACTATCGTTGTCATATCTGACACTAACGGTACTATTAATATTTTATCCTACGCTTATGATAATATTATTTTAACATCCATCAATAACAGTACTATTCATGTGATATCCTATGTTAATGTCTGTAACATTTTATGTCATATCTTACGCTAATGGTAATATTTTGTCATAACCTACGCTAATGGTAAAAATTGGTGTCATATCCTGCGCTAATGGTAATATTTTTATCACATCCTACGCTAATGGTAATATTGGTGTCACATCCTACGCTAATGGTAATATTGGTGTCATATCCTACGCTAATGGTAGCATTCTTGTCATATCCTACGTTAATGATAATATTGGTGTCATATCCTACACTAATGGTAATATTGCTGTCATATCCTTAACGAATTGGTATATTGGTATATCCTGAACCATGCAACACTATTGTTAAGTCCTGCACTAATAGTATTGGTATACCCTTCACTTATAGTAATATTATTGTTATTTACAACACGAGTGGTGATGTTACTGTTATCCCCTCTACCAGTGGTAATATTACGGATGTAATGGTACAGTTATGTACTTTCGAGGTTTATATCGTTCGGTTTGAGCGTTTCTAATTGTACCTAGAATCAGCAACTTTTCTGAAATTGTTTCAGTTCAAATTGATGATGACTCCGCGGGATGCTGCTCCAGCACCAAGTACTATGTTTTACGGTACCCCATGAATGGCAAAGGATAATCCATCATGGAACATAGTTCCATTTAACAGGTATGTCTTATACCATTTTATGTATAGCTCGACATCGGATGTTTTGTAAAATTGTTTTTAAATGAGAAATATCATTTGCCTTCTGAAGTGTGATTGCAAACATGCTTATATGATATAGCCACAAGCTTGCTGAAGGTGGCTTTAAGGGGTCGTTAGGTGTTAGTGGAGGTGTTTCACGAACACCTATTTTCCCCTAACTGATAATCGTTGATCCATTCATATCATTTGCATTACTGTTTCTGCCTTTTCACCTACAATCAGTGGTATATGGACTCGTGAATGTCCGGGCAAGAAATAGTCTTCAGAATCCCTGCTTTGTAAGAGGCGACTAATGGGATCAGGTAGTAAGGCTTGATGACTGAAGATACGAGCTGCGAAGATCGATGATGAAGCTGATCATAGGATTGTCTGGTCAGATTCGATTATTTACAGACCGAAAGCCATGTAGCTGGAATATAGCTCAGAACAACTAACAAATATCAAAACAATGAGCATGTAACCACGACAAATTACTGTCTTAAATTCACTGCTATAGTAACAACATGTGCACTGAAGAAAACACATTTATTGCCTTTTTGTTGTTCACAAGAACATATATTGCAATCAATATACAATTAGTATTCCTTTTCTACCTAGTGAGGGACATGATCGAATTCAAAGCCACCGGCCATGGGAAGACCTATTGTTACAGGTCACAGCCCTTTCCCTGTGCTATCGGCAAAAGATGGAAAGAACAAAAGGTTCGTATTGTCAACGCGTCTGTAATACGTTTTGCATATTGAAACAAATGTACTCACTCATAATAAGTAGCAGTATTTCATTCTACCATTCTTGATATGACACTAATGCCTTATAGCATGGTTATTTGCCTACTGTGAATTATTATTAGAATAATAGATTATTTTGCAATGATTTTTTATTTGCTTGCAGAGTCTCACCAAAGACTTCTACGAGGTGAGGATAGAGAAAGACTCGTTGTTCGACTTACGCAGATACTTTCCACAACAGCATTAAATGGAAGACTTAGATTGTCGTCGTCGCAGGAGTGAAACCTTTTCTGCGCTATCAGTTAAATTCAACGTTATGTTTGAATTTTTTGAGAATGATATTGTGCAGAATGAGGACTTAAGACATTAAGGAACATTGTGTTTCATCTGCGATCAAGGCTAATGTCTTTGAATCATGTAGTAAATTAATACTGCTGTTGTTGCAGGAATCAAACTTAGTGTTAGATGGGATAAGCCAAATGAGACCCATGTAGTGTTTCTAAGATAGTTAAAAAATAAAATGTAATCAAATGTCCATTTTTTCCTCGAGCTGAGGGCAACTCTTGTCCAAAGTCAAAATGACTTCCAAGAACTTTTATAATAATCACAGAAAATGCCCCGTCTTGATGATTTTTTATGTGCAGATGTAACGCATTTTCAAGCAGAACAAAGAAGCGTATTGAAAATATAAGGCTAGAGTGAGGACATAGCGAAATCGGAGAATGATGCTTCCAATCCGCAAAATCATCTGTCAAAACCACTGTTGTGCTTTCTGTGATAGATTGATGTTTGGCACTGAACAGGACAAAACAGAACAAGTTTATCTATAAAGACATGAGCCCCTCGTCAACGGTACAAAATATATTTTACATTCAGAGCATAATGGCATGACATTTACAAATTTAAATTTCAATGTAACCTTGTGCTTAATGAATTCAGCTAGATACAACTAGAAAATCTTATTAAAGAGGTTGTAACAATTGAAAAAAATTGAAAGGTTTATTAAAGGTTATGTCAGTAACAAAGATTGTGTTTGTTAATTGTTGTCTGCCTTTGATCGACAGGTAGGTATGAATGTATATGACGGTGATTAGAAGCTCTAGTCCCTCTAACATTTGCTTCTGGGGTATTGAGGTCATCTCAGATTCAGATTCCACATTACCGACATGGAACGACTTTACCTAGTTAAGTGCTGGGTCCTTTTGAACTACAAAACCGGTCACAAGTACATCTGTTAATTTGAGCGATGCTGAGCTCGATACAAACAGATGAGACATTTTATAAAAAGTACTCAAACTTCAAATATCAATTCACATTCAATTCCCTATTACCGAGGTTTTCTTTCACTGTAGATATAACTGTACTAAGGTATATATAATACTAAAAGATGGTGGTCTCTTTAAACATTCAAACATTTAACTGAACGTATACTCCTCTTCTCAATTTCCTTTGTCTCAAGAGATGAATCCTTTGTGATACCCCCACTAACTAACCTTGCTGTTAATGACAGGACTGAATGAGAGGTGGTGAAGCTTAGTCTCTCACAGGACACCCACTACCGTTGGATTCATACAATTTTCTAAACAATTTATGCACGCTACGCTACCCCCGACATTTTATTCAACAAGGACGTGAATGATACACCACCACCAGGGTCCAACATCAGTGAGTTATTGCATACGGCTGTCGCCGTGAAAAGTAGGTCAGTTCAATACTGCAGTAAAGCTGAACTATGATATACGTGATTAATTATGTTTTAAGGTCAATGCGAGTGCAGATTTAGATTATCGAGTCGGCTTTTGGTGTCGAAAGTCCAGTTTTATCGAAGTAGGAGGTCATTTCGCTTTTAGTTGTTTACATTCTTTCGGCAGGTCAACGCGGTAGTGTGGATTAATCTCGGCAAATTATACAATTAAACACAGTTGAGTCGAACTTTCATATATGCCGAATTTACGGATGTGTCGAACTTCCTTTTCTCGAAGTAAGCGTTTGGTCCCTGCTTATTCCTTCCTAGGTTCTTTGGCGTTTATGCCGAACTCCTGAGATAACTCCTCGAAGCAATCACGTGGGCTCACTTCAACCTCGACACAAGTGCGTGATGACATAAGGGATACTTCATGACCCAGCCTGTACTTCGACACATCGGTGTTTGAGTGCTATTGTACCGCCTTTATAAGTGCTGACGGTCGGTCCCCGCATTCATAGAACATAATACTTATCTTCACATACATTAGTGCATGGAGCAGTCTAAGGTGTACAATTTGAAAATGGAGTCCAAGTGGGTCGTAGCTAGGCGATGAGTAAACAGATAAGCTGAGGACACATTGTAATGTCACCCTGTCTAACAGTTACCTGAATGGCATAATTCATCCGTCTATGTGTTGAGTATTGATTGCTTGTGCAAGGGAGGAGACGTCTGCGAACAGATTAACAAAGCCTTCAATGAATGGCAACATGTGTCTCAATATCTCTAGTCATTCTTTTTAGGTGAGGTGGCGTGAGGGGAAAATGGGTTTAACGTCGTGCTTGGAGAATATTTCGCACTTTTGACGACGTGAATGCGTGTGAATGTGTGTGCGGCTGATTGTACTAGCCCAGACTTATTTAAGCTGGTTTTATAGTGCTAGCCCACTGAGATACCATGCCGCAGTGAAGCATGAATACCCCACTCAGACATTATACTGACTCGAGCCGACTCAGTCCTTGTTGTACCCATTAATGCTGAGCGCCAGGCAGGGACCAACAAGTTGCCATATTTTAACGTCTTTTGGTATGATGCGGTTCGGGGATCGAACCCGCGACCTTCTGCTCTCGGGCGGGCGCTCTAACCACTACACCATCGGAGGCGGTCCATTCGTTTTAGGGAAACAAACTAATACATTTAATAGAGTGATAATGAGGGCAATAGAATACGTAAGTATTGTCTGCGGCATAAAGAAACGTACATTTTGAGGTTGCCTTATTTAGAAATGTCTCATGTTTTCAAAGCGAACGATGTTTTGTTTGTTTGGCAACACTCTGCGATATTATGAGGTGGAGTCTGTAATCGCATCTTGGCTAGAAAAATCCAGTGATGAACAGCAGGAGCATCGATCAACGCAATCACGTCACGATGACATGTGTCAACCAAGTCAGCAAAACCTGACCACACGCGATCCCGTTAGTTGCCTTTACGACAAGAATGGGCTTGCTATATATGAATTCTGGTACGCCTTCATCTTCACGGGCTTGTAATCCAGATACCACGCAACCTATCGTGGTTGTTTTTACTGGCGAGTCTGACGTTGCGATAGCATATCCTGTATGACAGTTCTTTGTTGGATCTCCATTATTACCAACCCTCAAATGGTAGGTTTGACTAAAGCTTAAGACAATTTTAATAATTCCATGGAGATGGAATCAAACTGTCGATAGGAGTCCTGCGCAGACACAATAAAGCCAGATCGGAATACATTCCTGATTTCGTGTTTTTAAAGGAAAAATTAATTCTCCTAACTAGTACATTCAATTAGACCGGTACACTGAGGATACCTGTGACCAGATGCCATACATGCAAAATGTGGTCCATTGTCGCCTTCGATGACCTTAGTTGGGGAACCTTCAGTTCTCCACATATCTGTCTTGTCAATGCAGTCACTCCACCGCTGGAACGTGGCTCTGGCTGATTCGTCGCACAGAGTATAGCAGTCTGACATAATCAGTCCTGCCACTGCCCTTGTGGTATGTCTTGTGGAACAGTATGTCATGTGCCTGGGCCGTCTGGTGGTGACATACCATTCATTGGTCTACCAGTCTCTCACAATACCTTTGATAGTTCCGGTCTAGTAGAAACAGGCATTACCATGCAGCTGGTACTTGGCTACTCGTGTATTTTCTGTTGTGTTTTCTTCAGTTTGTCTTGTCGCCTTCACGATTTTGCCATTATCAGCTGACAGTTCGTGCCAACGACAGATTTTGGCATTTGTTTTGGATTCATTTCATGGTGATCTCTTTGCGATTATTGAACTCTCAGCCTGTTTTGTTGCAGCGTGCATGTTAGGGGAACTCTAATGTAAGAATCATTGTGTCCACGTCAATATGAGGTCGCGGCTTTGACTCGTGAAAGACCATGCGCCAATAACATTTCTTTACTGGTTGAGAGAGATTAGATTAGCCACAGAACCATACGCTAGAGCCTCAGGGGTACATTTGCCAGTTGGACATTTTCCAAAACCTTGTGGTTTGACTCCACCTAAAAGCGGTATCCTTAGATGTACGTGTGTGGAATGTGGTCCCCTGAAACAGTTACCAGCAACTTCTCGTTCAATGTACCGCATTTTGAATCAACCAGGAGTATGGAATACTGGTGGGGATCCTCGCGATCCGCGATCTCGTCCTTTTGAATCAAGCCAAATATGCCAAAGAGTGAGAATGCGAGAACGCGAGATTTGGCCAAAAGCTCGCGTTCTCGCGATCTCGCATTCTCGTGTTTGGTACATAGCACTTTTAGTCAAAAAGTCGAGATCGCGAGAATGCGACATTTGTACATGCTGTCAAATCTCGCATTCTCGCAATCTCGACTAGTCAAATATGGCCACAAAAACGACGGGAAATCGCGAGATCGTGAGAATGCGACATTTCATTTTCTCGCGTTCTCGCGATCTCGCGTTTTTTGACGCTGTCGTTGCGCATGCGTAATATCATAAGGTCAAGGCGCATGCGCATCTTAGTAGTGCTGTGGTCATGCTTCTTTATGCTTTTCATTTCCCAAGTAGCATTTAGCAAATTTATGACATAGCTTGAAAATGCTATATAATTTACATACACGATGTGTAGGGTAGTGTATATAAGTCCGTTCCCGTTGTTACAATTTCCTGTGTGCTTAAAATCCTCAACGTGTTAAATATAATTTAACAAACGAAATTGTGAATATGAATGTCCAATAAAAGTTAAAACATGAAAGTGTCCGGAAGCTGGAAAAAAATATTAACCT